ATACTTAGGTCCTATAACAGATCTGTGATGATCACCACTTATTTAAATAATACACTGGGACAGTGGGGATAATTCTATGCTATAGGGATAATAATATATATTCTGCTAAATATTATGATCCGGAAATTGTGGATTGTTTTGTGAATTAACAGTATTTTGTAAAAATATAATATATAAATGGAATTGTTCAACTGTATGAGCCGTGCAAATAATTATGTAGCCATCAACTAATAATTCGAAGTATGTGTTTGGCGTTTGCTGGTTTCGTTTTAAACTACAGAATATTATATGGCGCTCATTTTACCTATACATTATTGGTAGGCATGTAAATATAATTCATAATATCTGTAACACTACATTGTAATGTTTTACACGTATACTGTATTATAATGACAACATCGCGCTTAATGTGCACCGAGACCATTAGTGACCATTGACGGTCATTTTTCTCCGTCTCTGTCTCACTATATTATGACACGTGTAGTTGAACGTCCGTCTCTCGTCTGCAGCAAAACGGCAGCCGTTTTCTCCTCGGTAGGAGTCGACGGTATGTATCGTACGCGGTCGGATTGAAAAGGTTCCGAAAAACGTGTGTGTACCTAACGAACGAATGATCATACGTATATACGCATATCGTTTAGATACACCTCTCGCACTAGTGTATTATTATATATTATAATGCATGCGCAACCGAATCCTTACCGGCGGCCACTAGTCCCTATTGTATCTAACCTCTCAACGTCTGTTCCTCTCTCACGCTAAGTCAGAATAGGTTTTAGTTTTTTTCATCGATTTTTTACTATACTTTTATGTATATTTTAATATATACTTTATGCATATTACATGGCCCTATTTGGCTTTATTCAGCACTCGGTTTACAACCATAACAATTAAGAATAATACGTACGGCTACTGGACATCGGACACGGCATGTGTCTGAAGTGTGCAATTATGACTATAGCAGTATATATAGATTATAGGTACATTGGTAGGTACGTATACTATTATTGTTGCGTACTTGCGTACACCCGACACTGTTTGTCATATGACTTATACGTCACGCGACGATGATGACTCGCGGTGAAAGTCCAATATGCGAAATACGTGCTACTATAATACGTAGTTGTAAAATAATTATGTAATGTTATGGTTGATATAATTATTATTTTTTACCCGTTGAAATTTTGGTCGCCAACTTAGATAAAAAAAATGTGTATGATTGCTAAATAAAAGTATTTTCATACTAACAATTAATAAAGTCCAAAATATATATATATAGGTGGGTTAAAAAGTTTCGAAAAATCGAATATCGATATTATTATTATTAAATGTTAGAACTTAGTTCATAAGTTATACAAATGGTTTTACGAGAAAAAATTCATAAAATGCCTATACATTTTGCATGTGCAATCTGAAACGAGTATAAAGAATAGTGACGTTGGCTGAAAATGTTTCATGGTTCAAGGAGTAAAATTCAGCAGTATAACGTGACATAATATGTATTTTTCTGTGTTATTCAAGTTTTTAAGATATATGTCTCTTGGAGTTCGCTTTATTAAAAATATAAATGTAAATAAAAAATAGTGCTTGTAAAAATTTAAGCTGAAACGTTAACCATCATAAATATACAAAATATCTAATTTGACTTTATGGAAGTTCAAAAAACGATTGAACCTTTTTGTCATAGTTCAAAAATAATGTGTTGACGCTGCGAATTCCGAGCTCTGATTATATTTTAATAATAAGTCGTTTTTTTCACTCTTTCCCCTCTCGTGAAGATAGTAATAATAATATTAATTTCAATAAACATTCCCGCGTTCGTTGTTGTCAAGTGACAGGCACGCGACCTCCACTACAACGGTGGGTCCTTGATGGAAAATCAAAAATATATATAAGTATACACACACACACATATATACAAATACGATGCATCAAAACAATCGATATGGTATCAGCGGGTGACGAATTTAATCGTTTTTTTCTTTTCCGAACGTCTTCGCTGTACCTTTATATAATATACGCACATAATAATATTTTCCATTTTAAATTGCATTGTACGCACGCAAGTCGGCGGGTTCCCTCAAACGCGCTTCACTGTCGCGAGTTTCAAAAATTATTGTTGTACTTCACGTCTACACAGTTCACATATCCTACGTAACACGGACACATTACGATTTACAATGTGTATGCAGTATAATAAACGATGTCGAGTATGCATGTAGTCAATTGGATACAAAAAATAAATAAAAATCCTAAATTAATATTTGTTGGTTTTTAGTATTAACAATATAGTAACGATATAATAGAACTAATCAAATAGTGTTGTAATGTTTGAATCTGATTCTTTATTTTTATCTTGCACAAAAAACGATTTTGACGAATTTAATTTGAATTTTGTTAAATTGCCAATATTTTGATTGTGTTTACATAATATATCAACTTCTCGTATTACGCAATGTTACAATATTTAATATTTTTTAACTAACGTATTAACTAAATATTTAAAAAAAGTTATTTAATAGTTAATAATAATAATAATAATAATTACTATTATTATTATTATTATTAGTTATCGGTGCCATCCTTTGCCATCGTCAAAACAGTTTCTCAGAGAATTTTCTAATTCAAAAGAATTATAAATGATAATATAATTTATTGCTATATGTAGATATTGTTGACATACCTATAGATATACATTATATTGTTTTCGCAATAGCCTCGGGATTTTATGTTGGTACCTATCCGGGCCGTTTTCCAGAGGTCAAAGGATAAATTAAACTGTCCACTTGTCATTTGTCATTTATATTATGTATATCAGTACAATGGTCGACTTTAAAAAAATAAATAAATAAAATAAGAGGACAATGCGAAAAATATGCATATATACATATAATATAGAAATAAACCGCCGTTATCGTGATGTTTTACCCCAAGGACGATACGATGACGGTTTATAGAGGTAAATTAGTTAATGACGATGACAATGATAATAATGATGATGATAATAATAATAATAATAATAATAATTGAACATTGCCACTACATTATTAAAATATAAGTATGTAAATATATATAAATCATATTTTTATTTTGTTTAAAATAACTCTGAAAAATAATTCAAGTTCGGGATTTACCAACTAATCACCGAGTTTAACCTAGTAGGTTGAACCAAATTTTTATAGATCAAGATGTCAAATTAAGTTAATTTTTTAACCCATTTTAACGGGTATCAAGGCTGGTAAAAATCTAAAAATCGATGGGCCGGTACTTACTATATTCTAGCTCTACCAATGGCCATTAAGAGGGATTATGCATTCATAAATAGATTATGTAAAAATGAATTCAAGGTTAACAAAATATACATTTATATTTTATATCAAGATATTCATGACTTAATGAACGGTTAAAGCATGTTTATTGAGTAAATTTGTGCAACGATGCATTTGATTATGGCGGAAAGGATATGCACTTATTGTATCAATTCATCGATTGTAATATCTGAAAAGTTTTGAGTCGTCCTGATTCTACATAATATAGTTAAGAGGTACTGATTGTGAAATTGTTGTTCACTAATATTAACATAAAAACGAAACAGTATTTCTATTTATGAATTAACATTAATTAAGTAAAAACATATACCAGTTCGATAAACCAAGTATCACATCTACCACAAAATAGCACGTGAAATTATATTCTGTTATTGTTCTACTAGAGAATTTCAAATTGGCAAAATTGTTAAATTTATATTGCTTATATTTTTAATTGGATGGGAGAGGAATAATATACGTCAGAATTTAATGAATGAAAATTGTGGTGGCGTGAAGTGTAATATGCACATAGACATAATATTAGAAGAAATATGAATAAACTTATTGTTGAACAACAAAATTGACTAGCGCCATTATTTATCTTTATTTTATGCAATATAGGTACATGATTGGGCTAATAATTATTGTATTTATTATTGCAATTCAATTTGTCCTCGCATTATATAACACTGATTTAAATTCACATAATGTTATGTGTGTGCTATGGCTTCCATTGATATACATATTATACTGCATAATATGATGATTTTTATACCTACACATTTTTTATTTTAATCGTTCAGTTCTTGGCGTCGTATTTCCTATAACGCAAAAAGCCAAAATTAAAATACGGACCATCGTACCTACACAACATAATATGCTTTATATAGGGGAACGCCTTATCACTACTTTTGTACTTGACAAATTATATATTTATTCTGACGCTCATTGTTCTGGCGAAGGTTAAAATCCAAATTATTTCTAAGTATACACCCAACGCCGCCGATTCCTATGTTATAATATTTAATATAATGAATGATGTGCAGTAATTATTGCTACCGCACGGAGGTTATAACCGTATTTGTTTTCAGTAATTAATTATAAATGCACCTATGTATATTTATACAATATATATCATAATATTTTATGCAAATAACATAAACATCAATATTTTATTCAGTTGGCACGCCAAAAAAAAAGTAGTAACTCTACAAGAATTTATCTAGCACTTTTTTTTTAAGTAAAAAACTGGATTATTGTCTAGTAAATTTAAGGAAATACTCAAGTTTAACATTTCTAGTAAGATAATATGTATAATTTAACAAACATGAAAATAATTTATAGTGGTGTATTTTTATGTGTACATTATTATCTAAAGTTCTAAATTCTTGTAATATTTAGGTATAATACATAATGTATAGTAAAAATTAAAGTACGTGCGATTTTAACCACTTTATTAATTTTTTTCATATGATCGAACCGAATATCAAGTCAGCCAACTACCATAACAAACATATAATATTTCGTAACTATCCATTAACTATACCACAAGCTATCTTCTCTTATTTATAGACTAAATCATATTTTAAAATTCAGCACCCTCTCTATGCATTATTGTCAATGATTAACAAGATTTATATTTGTTACAGTATGATTAATGTTAAATGAATTTTTAAAACTAGATTTACTTACCACTCATTTGAGTCTGCCAAACAGCGTCGCCAACACCCCACAGTCCCGATATAGTGAAGAACAATTTGGGATTGTTGGGATGAGGTCGCCATACGATCAGAATCCATATGAGTATTGAATGGACGACGAAGCCCAGCGCCATCAGTGGCAGTCTTCCGATGTACTTCATTATGGTGCCGAACAGCAACGAGCATATTGCGTTGACCACGCCAAAACATATCATCACGTATCCGACGGATGGAATGCCTAGGGCGCAAGACACATACGCCTGAAACGGACACGATGTTTAGGTAGGTACCTAAGTCAATACAATATAATACATAATACCTATTACGATATAGTATGTTAAAAAAAAAACCATACGCCAATTAGTAGGAATATTAATAATTAATATAAAATATTGTCTGCAGATTTAAAAGAGTAAAGTCAACAATACTATGGACATGATAAAGACTTGTTTATGATTTTTGTAGACTTCAAGAAAGCCAATGATAGTGTCAATAGATTTCAACTATTGACAGCGCTGAAGAAACAGGGAATCTTAAAAAAATTGATTAAAATAATTCAAATATGAACCTAACTTAAAAACATATAATAAACTTCGATACCAAGATATAAATTTATCATTGAAATCTGAAGCTAAAACAGAAAGATATTTTCTTCTATACGTTTTAATGTGTCGTTCAAAGAAGTCTGTAAGTCACAAAATTAAACTCAATGGTAACGATGTAATGCTAGAATACATGTAGATGACACTGTAGTTTTAGCAGATGCTGAAAACGATGTAATTAAGGTCACAGCGAAATTAATCAAGTCTAGTCACAGAATGAGCCGCTTGTTATCAACAAAAACATATTAAATACCTACTAATGACTAGACAAGTGATGAACAAGGAAGCTTTTTTGAAATTAAAATTAATAATATACGAGATATGAATGACATGATCTAGAAAGGCTGTACAATAAGCCAAATACAAGATTATTTCTTAAAACAAAACTATTGGAGTGTGTTAGTTATAATTTTATGAAAGACTTATACGAAATATTCTGATCAAAAATCTTACAAAAAAGTAAACAAGGAGAAGACCTTGATAGCAGTGATTAGACAAAGGGGGAAGAACAATTTAGATATTAACGAGTGAGTATTGCAATGGACCAGAATAAATATAAAGGTTTGGTAAATCAAAAAAAAAATGTCTTCAGACAATTGTCTTTAGTCGCCTTTTAGTTATATAAAATGTATATGGAGTTTAAATTAGGTGATTTTGGGAGATTGCACTACCCTGGGTCATCGAGTCAAAAGCAAATATAAGTATTCACTATTTTTTTTTATACTTATATCAATCGTTATTGTTGTTATAGTTTTAATTTTATGAAAAATATTTTATTTTGGTATGTATTTCGTATTACTAGTCTTATACTGCAGTTTTATTAGTTGACAAACCATCGAAATACTTTTTATTACTTTAAGTCTTTAATAACCAATATTATAACGAATTATACAAATAACAGTTTAAAAACAATAAATGATAAACATGTATATGGCAGTATGTACCTACTAATAACTTTATACTACTGTACACGCTGCGTATTTAACTATCATGATCATCAGGATAATCGCAATATTGACAGTGAATAGTATTTCTTAGTTATATATTATAAGGCCTAAGTTTAGTGTCGAACGAAGTTCATATACGCGTATATCTAATCTATATATATATTATTATTGTTTAATTATATACATAATAAATATTATGTAACTACTGACTTACGAAAATAATACAATTTCATTCACGAAAAACTATAAAATGTGTATAAATTAGTGGCCGGTAAGTTGAATGGTATTTAAAATGTAAGACGGATATGCAATCATGCATGGAAATGCGTAATGGATATGTAAACGTTTTTACTTTTTACCACTTTGTCGTGTAGCATAATTATTATTATATTATAGTTATTGTTGATTGTGTTGCCGCCACATTTTATGCAAATTTCAATAATCAAATAGTGTTTACACACATTGTAGATTTTTTTTTTTTTTGAACCGTTCGGTGAAAATTACGTATGAATGTATAACTGCATCGACATACGCAAGCCCAAAATTGTACTGTAGGTATACACTTACAGTAAAATGTGTGTATATACACTTATGATGACACTCCAGTATTAATATTTTGAACGTATTAATTATAATATTCATATATAGTTAAATATGATAATTGATTTCAAATTCCTATACGCGTGATTGAGTTAGTATATCAATTGTAATCGATTAATGGAAAATTGTTTTTTTTTAATAAATATATCACAATATTGAATATAATTGGTATATTTGTATTATATCATGTTATAAAAATATTAATTATATGGTAGAATAACAAGTGGTTTTAAAATATAGGAAATGATGATTTTAGTGACAGATGGAAGTGAACTACCCTAACTGTCCCCTAGGTTGCCCAGTGTTTACTCCAATTAAACTTCTTTCGACCCTAAACGAAAATCATGTTATAATGATTAATAATGATTAACTATAATCTAGTGAAAAGTTTTAAATAAAATTATCGTAAATTTTACTAAAATAATAATAACAGTCGAGAAAGCAGCATACACTAGTCCTGAAAATACATGTGTACATAAATATACATTATAGTATAGTAGCTTCTACTTAATAACGATAATAATAATAATATAAAATCACGTATGCAATGACTTACCTGCGTGAAATCGGCTCCGATGAATGCTTGTTCCATTCCAATCCAAATGGTGATCGGTATGAGGAGTTGTTGGTACGGTTTTTTCAGTTGATAAGCCGTGGCCGACAACAGTTGAATACCGGACAGTTCTTGGCTATCGGCACGCCTCTGTTTCTCTCCGTATCTGTACACACAACAACGCGTTCAATCATAATTCATAATAATAATAAATAATAACAGTTAAGTTATATTATATTGAGAACTTGAGATAACAATGTTTTAATGTATAATGATGATATTGATTTTTCAATTTTGGTTTTTACATGTTTTCATGATAGAGAAAACTACTGCAGTATGTCTATCGCTTGATAGATCGTATAGTTATAAATATTATAATATAGTTAAACGCATATTATTAACTGTTCTCGTATACTTCAACAACCGTAAAAAATACATTCATGATAAATTTTGTTGCCTAATACTAACATTTAGCAAAACGTAAATAGATAAAATATATTTTTTTTGATATATTTGATTTTTTTCAACATTATAATTTTCTAAGTTATTTGTTACTTTTTTGAAAACTAATATGCAATATACATTTTAAATTTTGTTTCTCAAAACAGAGTGTTTTTTTAGAATTTCAAAATATAAAAACATAATTTCGAAAGAGTACTGTTTAAACTTTAGAGTTTAGATTAATGAATAATGGAGTAGTGGACCAAAATTTTATGAAGTATCCCAATGCTATTATTCTACTATGACATATTTTTCATTTATATTTCTGACATATAAACTTTATACGTATTTACTTAGATACTATAATTTCTAATAATAATCGACTGTTTTTTATTTCATTCTTGTTACAATAGCAACCCACAAATCGACAAAAATTGTATTAATATAAATAAAATATTTGTATAATTGGTTTTTGAGGATAGTGTAGAACTATTAACGCATTGAGTTGACTAATAAACTTTCCGGACATCACCGACCATTTTACAAAATACACGTAAAAATCAATCCAGTAGTTTTTGAGTCTATTGATCTCGGACGGATATACTAACATCCATTTATATATACATATAGATAAAAAAAAAATATTACTAAACATATATTGTACTTTTAAAACGCTATATGCGAAACAACAATATGTGCGAACGGTTTTTTGGAGACCCCGTCATCGTATAATGTTATTACATTCTTAAGATGCCGTCTGCGAAACAAATAACACAATAAGTCTCTTTTGTAATGATTCTCGTATGAATGTATAGTGTATACTATATAGGCTTACGAATATATTTAATAAATTTGTTCGCGTTGTCAACGAATGGGATATATTATTATGACACGACGTAGTGACTATTAATTATTCTATTCATCGAAATAATTTTTTTTAACCACCTCACGATCACGCGATCAAATGTTTGAGATATAATAGTAGGAATAATTGACAGGACCACCGCGTTACTATATAGGTTCACGAACTAAAATCGTAATTATATTATAGGTATGTCGTGTGTAATATTTTATACTTTCTATGATATTATGATATATTTTACTCAAATTATTTCGAAGTTTTCGAATTTAAACATAATATAGTAAGTACCTAGTGTTTTAATTTTGTTTAAAATTAAATAATTATTACGATCAGCAATATTGCTATTCTTTAAATCTTTAAATAGGTAATACGAGTATATACCTAATAATAATATGCGGATTAAATGAAATTGAAATAAGACAGTTATTTCAATAGTACCAAATGGAATAAACACTATATTTATTTTATTTTTTATTACCCATACGGCTGTACCGCAATTTGGCAATGTCATTTTTTTTCTGAAACGGTACATCGCACATGTAGTTAACAAGTGGATATCAGATTACATAACATAGTAATATATCATTATATAGGAACACTGCGCGTATTATGACCCGTGCGTACAATTATGCCATAATATATGATATAGAGCCTTTTAGATACACAATGGGCGTGCTTTATACTTATGGCGGTAATCGATCTGCTGGTATGGATGTCATTTTGAAGTTGATATCTTTCATTCTTTTTACGCAATTCAAATATTATAAAATAATCATACAGATAAACAATGTATATTATAGGTATAATTGAAATATTATTTTAAGTAGCGAGTTTCAACGAATTTTAGATTTTTCTACAGCGTTTTAAGTTTTAAAAACACTCCGACTAATTTGACTAACATATAGCTACAAACCTAACTAATAAGAAATTTGACTTAGACGGTTGATCTGCCCTTGGCGAATTAGATATTATTAGGTATATTTTCAATCGTAGTAAAATAAATTTTCAATTTATATCTGCCAAACTGTTCAAATTAGGTTAAAATCGTAAGCTTAAATTATCAAAATTCCAAAGAAGTATCTACACCTAGTGCCTTAAGAAGAACTTTTTTAAAATACAATTATCGAAAAAATAACAAGTGTTTAATTATTTATTTTTAATTCTAATTGTGATAATGATTAATTAAAAAATTATATGTTGGATACAAAATGTTACATTAAGTTGTTTGGACTACAAAATCAAAAATGTTCCAAGCAATTTAAAAGTTATTGACTATTGCTTGTGTAAGTATACTAATCAGTAGACACCGACAAAAGTTGATGTAACATTGATATAATTTTAATAATAATTTCAATTGTATAATTCTTTACTTTTTATATTTTATAATATAATGAACACCATTCCTAAAATGACTGTCGAACCGTTATTCGGTCAAAATGTTTGATCCGACTCTCTACTGTATATACATAATTATTAATTTATATTGTATATACTCATAAGACATTTATAATTTATTCCGTGTAATATTTTTATAATAATTAAAATAAATTTATAAATATTTATATTAATATATTTATTATATTAACAGGTGGGTCAAGATTTCAATAGCGATTGTGGTAATGACAGGATAATTCAATGTTTAGTTACAATAGTCGTTCAGAACAACATGTAAACATAAATATACAAATATGTGTATATTTTTTGCAACATTATCGTATTATGCTTTTTTTTAACTATTACTTTTAAAGAATCTAATTAAAATATATAGTATATATGTGTGTATTTCAACACTTGAAATAAATTAAACGTACATGAGAAATTTAAAATTTACTTGAATAATCTTATGATGAGAACTATAGAGAAGGTATGTTTTGTATAAACATTTTATGGAATAAACTTAATTATGTTTAATTAGGAAAATATGCTCTTAGTTATCGAAGTGTATAAATGACTACAGTGATTCTCAACTAAAATAAACATTTACTTTTACAACAACAGCAACAAAAGACTAAAATTTAACAGTTGAGTACTATAACACAGTACTATAACTATTAAGTATAACTTAATTTTATTGTGGTTAATTAGGGAAACATGCTCTTAATTATCGAATTGAATAAATGATTACGAGTAATTCTCAACTAAAATAAACATTTACTTTTACAACAACAGCAACAAAAAAATAAGACTTAACAGATTTATCACATAAGTGATAAATAATAATTTATGTTTGTATAGGCTGGTATAATTTTTATAATAAAGTTAATTATTAATAAATGAATATAATGATGCTGTTAGATACTTAAACATAGTTTTTATTTAAGGCAGACGAGTCAAAAGATCTTTAATCGATGGAATAATTTCTTATCACAATCATTAATATAGTTATAACATATATATATAATTATAGATATTTATCAACAGATATAGTAGCTATAATTATTAAATATCATAACTATAAAAATACAGTATATTAAATAAAATTTTTTTTTATTGATAATACAATAATATTAGGGTGTTATCGAATTGATATTTTTTACAGGTGATAAAAAATTACCACATGTACAACATCATTAAATGAAATTAACCAATGTTTCACTAATTACTTTTTTTTTATAGAAATTAGCATAAGTAAGGTAAATATAGAAAAAAGTTGATATAAAAATCGTATTAGGAATTATTAAATTTATTATGCAACTTAATTTTAATTTTTTAACTAATATTAATCCCCAGCCTTGAAATTTAATAGTAAAATATATAATATTAGAAAAAAATCTTGTTTAAAGACTATGTATATTATTATTATTATTATTTAAAATGGTGCGAAAACTTAATAAATTATGTGAATCGTGTAATGTTTGGTTTTTTTATGGTGGGGCTCTATATAGGACATGGTTAGTCGTAAGTAATAAGTATAAGCTCTCATAGTCTAAAGATTGGTATTAAGTTAAATACATACATTTTAATAGACATATCTGCATACTACGAATATTAGTGATTAACTTGTCCTGTGTTTGATATACAATGATGTACTACGTTATTTATTATGTATAATACAATATAATTATTTGATACTTGAATGTCGGCATATAAAATAATGGAGAAACAGATTTGATTTTGATTGGTTTAATAGGTAATTCTTACACGAAAATATTTATTTTTATTTCCTTAGTATAATATTTATATATATATTGTACAATATAATATTTATTATAGTTTTCGTTCGAAAAAAAATATTGCTACTTTTTTTTTGTGAAACATTATGACGTAACCCAATGATTATTATCTGTAATTATTATAAATATTTATCGTGTGCATACGAGTATGTAATATGTATGAAAAAACATGTAATAATGAATAATTATAATGTTTACGGAAATATATTGAGCATGTTATTAATTATATCTTCAATGATTAAGTCGAGTTAATAACATTTTATCAATTTTTATCGAAAAAATATATAACACTCGATTACCTGTAAATATAAATACTATTATTGAAAGGCCTAACAAATATACGGAAATTATTATAGTGTATAGGTATAATTTATGTTTTGGACGATTTTTTTTTTTTTATCGTATTATCTCGTATTTACCTATACCGAAGTCAAGGAAAACTAATTTTGCGTCGATTAACAACTAGTTAGTTTATTATCCATATAGGCAATATATTATGTACCTACTTATATTATAGAAATGTTGTATATTTAGATATATAAATAATCTACATAGGTAACCGAAAAAAATGTCTTCTTGTATCTCAAAATACTATTAGTGAATAATTACGAATGGTTATTTTGGTCATTATAATTATATATTTATCCATAATTTTTAACTAAATATAATATATACCTTCACAAATTTCTT